AGCATCTACTATACGCTGTCATGTGCTAGGTGCTGAGAATAAAAAGGTAATCATAACTGTCTCTGCCCTTTGCTATGCTTTAGGTCTGATGGGACAGACTTGAAAGACTCACACAAATAAAAAGGCTTAGCCAAAAAAGTGAAGATTGGCTGAGATCTGAAATTACAGTAGGAATTAATGAGCTGAAGGATGGGCTAATGTATTCCAGGCAGAGGGGACAGTATATGCAGAGAGGCCCTGTGACAGGGAGCATGGCACATTCACCTTAAAAGGCCAGTGTGGCACAGAGGTCAAGAGGGGCCAGACCACATGGAGCCTTGAAGGTCATACTAGGACTGGGTTTTCATCCTAAGAGCATGAGAAGCTGTTAAAGGCTAATACAAAAGGACACATGAACAGAGTCGATTTTTTGTTAGTTTTGAGACAGAGTCTCGCTCTGTCACCAGGCTAGAGTGCAGTGGTGTGATCTTGGCTCACTGCAACCTATAAATCAAGCCGGGATCACAATTCTCAAGTCTCAGCCTCCTGAGTAGCCTAGACCTTCACAGGCGACCGCCATCACATCTGGCTAACTTTATTTTATTTTATTTTATTAAAGACCCGGTTTCACCATGTTGCCCACGGTGGTCTCGAACTCCTGAGCTCAGGCAATCCACCCTCCTTGGCCTCCCAAATCTGAGGTCAGGAGTTACAGACCAGCCTGGACAACATGGTGAAACTCCTGTCTCTACTAAAAATAGAAAAATCAGCCAGGCATGTTAGCGGACACCTGAATCCCAGCTACCCGGAACACTGAGACAGGAGAATTGCTTGAACCCAGTAGGTGGAGGTTGCAGTGAGCCAAGACTGTGCCAGCTCACACTCTGGCCTGGGTAACACAGTGAGACTCTGTCTCAAAAAAAGGGAAGTTTATGAAGGGGAAGGAGACAAGTACATCTGAATATCAGTGGGGGGATCCACCTAAAAGGAGGACTACAAATACAAGACAGGATCCTTGCCAGTGTAAAGGTCTGGAGAAGGTCAGGGAGAAGACACTCAAAGCACAGAGGAAGACACTGGTATTGGACAGGGAGGGAAAACAGTGACTTCAGGTGAGGCTTGCAGATTAAAGGCTCCGGGGAGTCCCTACCTGATGGCTGCTATTTTTTCCCCTGAAGTAGGCATGAGGTCATTTGCTGAGTGGAGTACAATCACAGAAAGGCAAAATGCAGGCTGAAAGTCATTTGGAGCATGAGGAGGAGCTGTTAGGCAGAGCTGGGACCTGGACGACCTCCTCCTTCCCCAGCATTGACTCCCATTAGCCATCACTGACCTCCCTTCCCAACCCCGGCTGATGGTACAGATCACACGCTTCTCCTCCCATGGCACTCATTCTCACACGGGGTTTGTGGAGACAGTGAGGAACCCACACTCCTAGCAGCGTCTGACACATGGGTGGAGCCCCACAGAACTGTGCTGAAAGCCACCCTGATAAGAAGGACTCCTCGGTCCCCCACCCCACTCACTGTCCATGCTGCTCAGAGGGTACATTTCCAGTTCTGCTTCTATGCCCATGTTTTTTGTTTTTTGACACGGCGTCTTGCTCTGTCTCCCAGGCTGGAGTGCAGTGGTGTGATAGCTCACTGCAATCTCTGCCTTCCAGGTTCAAGCGATTCTCCTGCCTCAGCCTCCCAAGTAGCTGGGACTACAGGCACCTGGCCATATCCAGCTAATTTTTGTATTTTTAGTAGAGACGAGTTTACCATATTGGGTAGGCTGGTCTTGAACTCCCACCTTGAGGATCCGCTCACCTCGGCCTTCCAAAGTGCTGGGATTACTGGTGTGAGCAGTCACATTTAGCTAACTACAAAGAGGTGATTTTCAAATGGAGAATTGGTAACTCGGATGCAAACCTCAACTCCAGATGTGTGATGTTTTAGGGATGCTGAGGCCAGTGGTCTTCCATGGCAACCTCACCGAAGGACATTTGCCTGAGGAAGCTTAGCTACTGGGTAAATACATTCACGAGGTGCTGAAATCCTTCCATGTTCTGTACATAAAAGATAAACAGAAACCAGCACAAATCCTGCCTCTGCACCCTCATTTTAAAACTTTCTGAGGACTTGGTAGAAGAAGTGAAACTGTCATAGGTTAAGTGTGAAGAACTCTACCCCATCTCACCAAACCAGGGTCAGCTTGGGAAAGAGTATTCTGGAAACACAGCTGCCCTAAGGAGACACTGAAGAGACATACCTAGAACCCAAACGCTCTTGATCCTGAGACAGCTGGTAAGCACCTTGCCGCCAGGGCTGCCGAAGAGCCTCAAGAGCCAGGACGGCACGCTGCCTAGAGGGAAGCAAACACAGCTCGCATTTTTAACATGAGGCACTTATTTCACTAACGGAATCCACCAGACTTCTGCTCCTGGCTGAAAGGAGGACAGCACAGAGAACTCTCAACACAGCTCACAGCCAAGGTGGACTCAAGCAGGAAGATGTTTCGGGAGTGTGGCGATCTTCAGAGGGGGTCAGGTCTTCCCACCCCATTTTTCTCTCCTCTGATAGGCAGGGCACTTCCATCTAAGGAAAGGAAAGAAGGCCATCTTCTCCTAGATGGAACTACGGGTTATGGCTATGGCCTTCTTTCTAAACAGGCCGGATCAACCTATGAAGGGCTGGAACTGTGTATGGCGCAGACCTCCAGCAAATCACAAAAGGAGAGGGAAATAGGGCCAATCAATTAAATAAAAATACAAAGACCTGAGAATAAGAATTCCTGGGTGTGGGGTTGGGGTGGGAATGCAGGCAAGGACTAGGTGGTGAAACAAGCACAGCCACTCACACACCCCTGCCTGGCATAATGAGGAGACTTCAAATACCAGTCTATGTAGACCAGAGGTTTCCTCTCCTACCTGAGCCGGAGAGATAGCACTTTGGAGGTCGGGCTGGATGCACGGTAGTCAATGATAATAACAAACTACAACCACCCCTGCCTATCTTTAGATAAAGAGGCAAAAAACAGTAATTCCACAAGAGGCCTGGCTCAGCTTCACCAGATAACCAGAAGGCAAGTGCAGGAGCTGCAACACTGACAAGGAAGCCTGCACTCCAGCTTGGGACTTACAGCAAACCTGACTCTAACGAGCTTGCTTCAGGGGTACCCGGCACTCACATTTCACTGGAACAACGTGAAGATGTTAAGAGGCTAAATAACAACAAAACCATACCTGCTTTTACATAGCCAATAATCCCACCAGAAGCAACCAGTGCCATGTGAGCTGTGTCAAACCAATGCAAAGGCACTCTGAAAACACGAGAGAGAAGTCAGTGTTAACCGGGCTTTAAAAACAAACCATATTGTCATAGGATGGGACTAAAAGGTCATCATTACCCACAGGTTCTATCACTGAAAATAAGGCCCACAGAGGTTGGATGACTTTCTGAGAGTCACACATCTCAGCAAAGCCAGAGCTGGGACTCAAACCCAAGTCTCTGGCCCACGGGTCCAGTGATCCTCCCATCCCCCACGCCAATCCCAGGCAGTCTACTCTTAGGGTTCTTTTCTATAGCTGAGGAAAGGAACTCTGGTTTCAGGAAGCTCCTGGGTTACTCCATACCCATTTCTTGTCCACTCACCCCCGAGCCGGTGTCCGGCATTCTTCTCTTCTCAGTCCAGACAGGAGACTACCCGAGGCCTGCACCTGCGGAAAACAAGCTGGATCAGAGGTGGTTAAAAGCACAGCTCTCCAGCAGTCCGAAAGAAGTGTGTCCAACCCGCAAGCTACGCAACCTAAATCTCAGTATCCTTCACGTACCATGAGGATAACACTGGTACCAATTTCCTGGGGCTGTTGTGACTATTCAATAGATTTCACATGTAAAGGTGCTTAGCACATAATAAACGCTGAACAGATGCCGACCATTGTCACAAAAACCTTAGTTCTAATCACATAGGCCCATAGGAAACTCAGCAAGATCCACTGACAGCTCTATAATCAGGTGATGCATTAGTCATTTCATTAGCTACCCATGTTACCACAAAGTTGAAAAGCAAGTACTCCTGTGCCCTTAATCCAACTACCTTAATGTCTCTTTTGAGGGAAGGTAGGACTGCTGCTTTTCATCCCTGCTGCAACAGCCAATTTCAATACTCAACTTTTTTAGAAACTTCTGTGTCCAACTCACAGTTCTTGTTAGGAGGGCAGAAGGGGAGGATAAAATATACGGAAACACTGGTCATATTCACATGTGACATTGCACCCTTGGAAAAACAGCTATTTTCTTACAGAGAGTATCCAGCATGCAGCGAGTCTAACAAGATGAAAGCAATGCACACCCCGTTTATTCTGTTTAAAGAATTAGGCCATGTGCAGTGGCTCACGCCTGTAATCCCAGTACTTTGCGAGGCCGAGGCAGGCGGATCACCTGGGGTTAGGAGTTCAAGACCAGCCTGGCCAACATGGTGAAACCCATTGTCTACTAAAAAATATTTAAAAAGCAATCGAGCATGGTGGCATGTGCCTGTAATCCCAGCTTCTTGGGAGGGTGAGGTGGGAGAATGGCTTGAGCCCAGGAGGCAGAGGCTGCAATGAGACATATTCAGGCTACTGCACTCAAGCCTGGGCGACAGAGTGAGACCCTCCTCAAGGACGAAAAAAAAAAAAAAAATTAAGTTTCCATAAAACAGGGAAGGGCAGGGGGCTTGGGATCTTGCCCACAGTTCTTAACTCGAGGCGGCACTGAGTTAGCGAGGCTTTTAAAGAGATGGAGCAACAAAACCACCAAGAAACCAGGCAACACTATGCTACATGGGTAAGCCTTTGCTCAGGAGGTCAGGGACTCCGCGCGTGCACAACTTCTTTTAAGAAAAGCAGAAAATACCCAACGAGAAAAGCACCGACCACACGGCCTAAAGGCCCGGCTGAATCGGGGGGACGAAAAGCAGACGGCCGTGAAACTCCTAAATAATCCCTAAAAGTTAAAAGTGGCAGAAATAATAAGAATAATCCCAAATACTCGCACCGGTCTCACGAAGGCCCGGGCTGTCTACAAGGGCGCGCAAGCCGCGGTGATGACAGCGAGATGCCGCCGGAAACGCGGCGGCGGACGCTCTGCGTCCCGGTGGCGGGGTGAGGCGAGGGGCGCGGCTCTGTGGTGCGTGCGCAGTGTCCCGGGAGAGGGGCGGGCAGAGAACCGGGACGGTGCTTGAGCCACCGAGTAGCAGCTAGCGCCCTGCATTCAGGGCGTGAGGAGTGGGGCGGGGCATCGCGGCGAGCGCCCGAGTCCAGGGAACGGGGCGGGGAATCTCTGTGCTTCCCCAGTCCACTGCGCCTGCAGGGCCGACCAGCACCAGTCCCAGGTCCAACCCTGAGTGGCCAAAAGCCGACAACCCGGAGTTGCCCAAGCTGGACCACGTGAGCTCGGCCAGGCCAGGGGTGGAGGCCACCGCTGCGGGAGGAGGGCATCTGAGGCTGGATTTTGAAGGACCCCATTAACAGAGGGACAAGTTACAGGGTATAAACCAGATGCCGGTCATCAGGGAGGAGTGTCACTCAAGCCCGATCTTGTTTGTTTACACCAGGAAGGGTCTGCCTTCTACCTGCAAGAAAATATGGCGGCTGCAGAATAATGTGACTCAATGCCAAATATCTGTTTGTTTTAGGGAGTAAGGCTACTTGAGAAGCATCTTAAAGGGGGATAGGGAGTAAGTTAAACCTGATTTTTGCCCAGCTCTGTGGATCCCGAATGTCTGATGTTATCTCCATTATCACTTCCGAGCCGCTCCTATTCCCTGTGTTTCCTGCACCACCATTCTCTCAGTTGCTCTACACTAAAGTTTGCTGTCATCGTTGACTTCTCCCTCTCCTTCATCCCCTACAAGTATCAACATAGACAAATCTGATCAATATAATCGTCACGCAATAAAGCAGATTCCAGCGCGGTCTTTTTTTTTTTTTTTTTTTTTGGATACAGAGTCTCGCTCTTGCCCAGGCTGGAGTCCAGTGTGCGACCTCGGCTCACTGCAACCTCTGCCTCCCAGGTTCAACTGATTCTCCTGCCTCAGCCTCCTGAGTAGCTGGGATTACAGGCCTACACCACCACGCCTGGCTAATTTTTGTATTTTTAGTAGAGATAGGGTTTCACCATGTTGGCCCTGCTGGTCTCGAACTCCTGACCTCATGATCCGCCCCCCACTTGGCCTCCCAAAGTGCTGGGATTAGAGGCGTGAGCCACTGTGCCGGCTTTTGCAGCGCATATTCTTTTTTTTTTTTTTTTTTTTTTTTTGAGACGGAGTCTCACTCTGTTGCTGTAGAAAGTAGAAATTTCCTCTTCAAAGCTCGTCTTGGTTTAAAAATAAAATAATAGACACTAAGAATAATCACTTCTTACTCTAAAGCCTCCTATCAACTGTCAGTTCTTACACTTTAGCCCAGTTAGTTGCTTTGGCTTACTCAGGCATGTCTGGAGAGGCCCAAGCAAGTCTCAGCTCATAGCTTATGCCCCTCCTTATTTGGAAATGTTTTTGCTTCCTTAAACCTTTCATAAGCAACTTCCTCTCCTTCTTTATCCTCCCTTCACTTATCTATTTAGGAAAGTTTCAGGATGTTAGCAAATCGGGTATCAGTTTAAGACTGTGAGGTCCAGCACCAGCCAATGGATGCAAGACACAGCAGTAATGCCGACCCAAATGTGTAAGGCATAAATAGGTCTGCTTTTCCTTTGTCCAAGTGTGCTTTCACCATTGTTCCATCTGTGAGAGGTACTTTTTCCACAGAAAGTAAAAATGGTCTTGCTGAGAGATTTAAATTTATGTTTGAGTGCTATTTCTTTGCGGTGCCGGGGAACAAGCATTCCTAACAGTTGCCCAGGCTGGAGTGCAGTGGCAGGATCTCGGCTCACTGCAACCTCCGCCTCCCAGGTTCAAGTGATTCTCCCGCTCAGCCTCCTGAGCAGCTGAGATTACAGATGCGCAGCACCACACCAGGCTATTTTTTGTATTTTTAGTACAGACGGTGGTTCACCATGTTGGCCAGGCTGGTCCTGAACTCCCGACCTCAAGCAATCCGCCTGGCCGGGTCTCCCAAAGTGTTGGGATTACAGGCGTGAGCCACCACGCCCGGCTGCAGCGCATATTCTTAAAGACAAACTTTCCACTTGCAGCAGCATCTACCTTCCAGATAGCAAAATTGAAGCACCTGTTTATCATAGCTGATTCTAACCAGCTAAAGCTGATAATGACTAAGAACTTGCAGGAATTGCAGTATGCCAGACCTTCAATTTAATTGAAGACTTTCCTGAACAATTAATAAGGAGACTTGTCTTAACCTGCAGGGAATGGCTTTAGGGGCTTATTCTTCCCTATGCAGGCAGAAACCTCAAACCTTAATTAGGATCATCCACCATGATTCCCGCACTCTCCCCCCGACCTTATACTTGAAGAAACTAAACCTCAGAGAATTGTATTATCTACAATCTTTGTCAGTGGTACAGCTATTGTTTAAAGTAAGGTCTGAAATACAAAAATTAACCAGGCATGGTGGCTCACCCCTATAATCCAAGGTACCCAGGAGGCTGAGGCAGGAGAATTACTTGAACCTAGGAGGCAGACGTTGCCATGAGCCAAGATCATGTCATTGCACTCCAGCCTGGGCAATAGAGCAAGACTCCATCTCAAAAACAAAGAAACAAACAAAAAAACTATGTAAATAAAGAAAAGCAGCATTTTAAATAATGTTTATATAACTCACAGGAAAGTAAGAAGTAGGAAAAAGAAAACAAAAACAGCACAAACAGAAAGCAAAACAAAAAAAATGGCCGACTTAGGTCTTAAAATATCATTAATGACATTAAATGTAAATGGTGTAAATACATCAATTAAAAGATTATCAGAATGGATTAAGAAATATGACACAATTATATGCTGCGTACAAAAAATTCACTTCAAATATAAGGATACAGGCAAGTTGCAATAAAAGATAGAAAAAATACATCATGGAAACAAAATAAATCAGAAGTAGCTACATTAATATCAGATAGACTTCAGAGCAAAGAAAATTACCAGAGACAGTGACATAGTATAAAGATTTAAGAGTCAATTCACAAGAAAACAGAAATCCTGAATGTGTATGTACCTAACAATAGAGCTGCAAAAGATGTGAAACAAAAACTGAAGGAATTGAAATAAGAAATGGACAAATCCAGAGTTATAGTTGGAGGCTTCAGTCCCTCTAAATGATGATAAAAGCAGTAGACCGGAAGTCAGGAAGGATATAGAAAACCCCAATCACATCAACTAACAGGATCTAATAGACATTTATAGAATGCTGCACCCAACAACTGCAAGATACATAGTCAAGTGTCCACAGAACATCTATCAGGAGAGATCATATCCTGGGCCATAAAACAAATCTCAGCTAATTTAAAAGAATGGAAATCATAGAGAATGTGTTCTCCAATAACAATGGAATCAAATTAGAAATCAGTAACAGAAAGATAACAAGAAGATCTCCAAACACTTGGAAACTAAACCACATTTTAAAATAATCTGTGGGTCAAAGAGAAAAATCCGTGTGTCTCTAGAAATTAAAAAAAGGCTAGGCATGGTGGCTCATGCCTGTAATCCCAGCATTTTGGGAGGCCAAGGTGGGAGGATTGCTTGAGTCCAGGAGTTCAAGACCAGCCTGGCCAACATGGTGAAACCCTGTCTTTACAAGATACAAAAAAGTTAGCTGGGCGTGGTGGTATGTGCCTGTAGTCCCAGCCATTCAGGAGGATGAGGTGGGAGGATTGCCTGTGTCTAGAGGGCAAGGCTGCATTGAGCCAAGATCACGCCTTTGCACTCCAGCCTGGGTGACAGACCAAGACCTTGCCCCCTCCCCCCCCAAGAAAAGTGCATTATCCTGAATAAAATGAAAATACATTAAAATATATAGCATTAGTAGCAACAAATAAACCAAAAGTGAAATTAACAATTCAATTTACAATAGCATCAAAAACAATGAAACCCTCAGAAATAAATTTAATAAGTACAAAATTTATAAACTGAAAGCTAAAAAAACACTGTGGAAAGAAATGAAAGAATAACTAACTAAATAAAAGGATGTCCTTTGTTTGTGTATTGGAGGATTTCAAATTTTTCAGGTTATAATATTCCTCAAATTGATCTATAGATTCAATGCAATTCCTATCAAATCCAAGCTAGACTCTGCAGAAATTGATAAACTGATATTAAAATTCATATAAAAATTCAAGGGACAGCCAAAATAATCTTCAAAAAGAATAAAGTTGCAAGACTCACCCTTTCTTATTTAAAACTTACTACAAACCTATAGTAATCAAGACTGTATTGTACTATTGTAAGGATGGGCATATAAATCAATGGATTAGAATTGTGAATCCAGGGCCGGGCGTGGTGGCTCACATCTATAATCCCAGCACTTTGGGAGGCCGAGGCAGGTGGATCACCTGAGGTCAGGAGTAATAAACATTTTTTCAAAAGAGGTAAGAGGCTCACCATCATTAGCCATCAGGAAATACAAATCAAAATCACAATGAGCTACTAATTCCCACCCACTGGAATGGCTATAATAAAAACAAAAAAACAAGTGTCAGCAAAGGTGTGGCAAAATTGGAACACTCATACACTGGTGGTGCAAATATAAAGGGTGCGACTGCTTTACAACAGTATGGCAGTCCCTCAAAAGGTTGAACATAAGAGTAACCATCTGATGTGACAGTTTTACTTCTAGGTATATGTGTACCCCCAAAAAATGAAAACGTATGTTCATGCAAAAACTTGTAAATGAATTTTCAAAGCAACATTATTCATACTAGCCAACAGGAAACAAGTATGCATCAGCTATAGAATAAACAAACTGTGTTATATCCATACAATGAAATATTATTTGGCAATAAAAAGAAATGAAATACTGGTAACATGTTACAATAGGAATGAACCCTGGCCAGGTGCAGTAGCTTACGCCTGTAATCCCAGCACTTTGGAAGGCCGAGGCAGGCGGATTACCTGAGGTCAGGAGTTTCAGACCAGCCTGGCCAACACGGCAAAACTCCGTCTCTACTAAAACTACAAAAATTAGCTGGGCATGGTGGCGGGCACCTGTAACCCCAGCTATTCGGGAGGCTGAGGCAGGAGAATTGCTTGAACCCAGGAGGTGGGGGTTGCAGTGAGCCGAGATCACACCAATGCACTCCAGCCTGGGCAACAAGAGCGAAACTCCATCTAAAACAACAACAAAAAACCAATATGGATGAACCCTGAAACAATATGTGAAGTGAAATCACAAAA